CCTTTTTTGTGGTATGGATTATAAATCTAGTTTTGGAATTGGAAACGGAAAACACGGAGCAAATAGACCGCATGTTCTTTCGAAACTGATCCTTCTGAATCGCCGCTAAACCCTCTATTACATTACATTAGGCAACGATGCGCGTTTCAGACAAACAGGAAGGATCTGGGATGAAGACTCCATGCATCGCGCTGATTCAAAACATAAGCAAACCAAAGAGCGACAAGGGATGACATCCGACGGGTCACCCTGAACGAATCTGTTAATGTTGTTGTTTTTTTTTCCACATGAAAAGCAAAATCACTCAGTCACGAAGCAGACAGTTCTTTCAACGAGTGCGGGCACCTCGCGTTTAGTTTATCTTCGTACTGTCTGGATCAACCCCCACACACGCTTCCCCTTCCTATGGATGGAGTGTCAAAGATTCTGTACCTGTTTGACATTAGTGGGCAGTTTGTTCCACGGGTAGTTCTGCCTGATGTGAAATTCCACGTCTGTATTCATGGTCTCAGTAAAACACAAGGCTTGTAAATCGGCGAGGGCGTTTGGGTAACACTAATATTACTCAACCCCCATCGGCTTTAAAAATTAAAAGCAAATACTGTCTTAAAGTTCCATATTTACCCCGTCCCGATTTTAGGCTGTTCTTTCTTTAATCGCACTTCCTTATTATATTTACAAGGAAACGGTCGTCACCGCTGCTTTCGTCATTTCCGTCCTCTTGGCTCGTGTCGGGAATATCTATGGTAGCAAAAAAAAAAAAAAGGTGAATCTGTGGAGCGGTGTTTTTCTCCAGCAACTTTCAGAAGAAAAACTGTTTTCTTCATTCACAGAGCTTAGCGTTTGCGTTTCACATGTGTGTTTTTACGGCTTTACACGATTATGTCCTGAAAGTAAGGTTTACGTTGAATAAAAGTGACTACAATTCTGCTTGATTTTATTTAAGAATACCTCAATATTTTGGAACTATACATGCATTTGAAATAAAATAAGTTTGTTGAGTTCCTCCCCCCGATTCGTAATTATTAACGTTTATATTTTGTACCGAAATATGAAAATAAAAAGCAAATCTTCATTGATTAGACTTTAACCAAAAAAAAAACGGTAAACGCCAGGGGGCGTATGTATCCACAATAAATACAAATACAGTATTTCGATTGAAGCTAACGGGAATAAATATCACACATCAACTGTACAGCTATACAATTCGCAAAGTCTTTTACTGGTGGCATTTACATTTTTCTGATAATTGATTTATATATTGAAGTTAAAATAGTCCTAAATGTCCCGATAATTCATTTTCATCGATTGACAGGGTATTTTTATGTTTTTTCACGTCTGCTTTTCTGGGAAATGCTCTCTCTCTCTCTATGTTCTGCAAGACTATTTTGTTGATATGCTCAAGCTGTGGCAAACACTGCAGTGAAGAACAGTTATGAAAATTAGACGGAAATCTCTATCTAAAATGCTCTGAAGCCTATCAGATATATCCTTCTGCATCACTGGCACAGTATAAATCATTCTTATTGAATGTGGTGAAATCTCTTCACAAGCCGTTTTTACTAGGAGTCCAGAGAAACACAGGTTATAGTCAAGCAAAGACGCATAATAACTGGGTGAAATAACAAAACATACAGTATCAGTAAAACTGCAGGACTATAGCTCCTGGGGATCTGGAGTCTTAATATCTTTGTCATCTCAGTATTCCCATATTCCAGTTTAGTCCAATAATTAATTTATTTGGCTTTTGGTTTTGTCCCAAAACAACTCACATTGGTGCCCATTTAAACAGGTGGGTATTTTCCTAGCATGAAACAACTAACTGAAGGGTACAACAGCAGCTTCCCATCTGGGACTTGAACCCACAACCCTCCTGAACACTACCCTGCAATACCAGCTGAACGAGCAGAGATCCCCCCCTTCCTCCCCCAGCCTCCTGTGAAGAGGTAACCCAGGGCAGTCAAGCCTGGCACAGCTGTCCAGTCGTCTCACGCTGAACTTTAGGCTCTGTTTACAGACAGTCTGCACACCCCCCCCAGTTGCAAAAGCCGGTGGGGAGTGCCGCGTAGTTTCCAAGCCCCAGGCCAGCTCCTCGGATAACTGGAGTGTCTGTTTATACCCCTGTAAACACGGGCAAGCATGACCGAAAGCTTCTGTCGAGGAGCAACGAGTTCCAGTCGCAAAAACAAGAGGGGGTGGGGTCATGTGACCTCGCTGGCACGCGCTCGCAGCGGTATTCTTAGCGCCGGAATGTATACAGTGGCCTCGTGGTAAGAGCCTGGCCCCTAATCACAAACATCGCGGCACCTTCTTCATAAACACGGCCGCTCTGCATGGCCTGCTCCAGACGTTAACATAAAAATGTGAGGGTGGTTGGGTGTTTTGTTTTTTGGGGTTGTTGTTGTTGTTGTTGTTGTGGTGGTGGTGGTTTCCTTTTGTCCGACGAACTTTCCACAAGTGGAATCAGATCTGGACGTGTTGAAGAGAAGGAGAGGCCAGGAGACGATCCAGGTAAAAGCTGACGAAGCTCTTCCGAATCGGAGGTGTAGAGCAAGCATAGCTGAACGAAACTCGGAGCTGCTTTGTTTTAGACCTTTAGTTGGTGACAGACGCAATTTTTTTCCGCTAAAAGCTTTGTAATATGTCCCTCAAAGTGTCTTCATATCTAGTCAAGTGCCGAAAAACGTTCAGCAGTAGGATAGGCTTCTAGGTAAGAACATGAAATTGATCAGTAATTTCCACTCACTCCTTAATTTATTTTTTTCCATTGGCAAATGCAGGTATATTTACTTTGTTGAGAAATCTAATTATATAATGAATATTAATAGCTATGAACTCTGTTGCGCTGTGTTAATTGGTCTGGACAGCCTTCAGGATGGTTCCAGATTCCTTCTGTGGTTTGTGTTTAAATAAGAATTGAAAAAAATGCCTAAAGTTTGCATTACCCAATTATTCTACTGCTTCCTTTTAAGGCACAAAAAAATCATACTGTAGTAAAGATATTCATGTAAGGAAACTCTTTGAGTGTATGTCTATAAACTTCCTTTCGCTCATCGTCCCCAAACAGCCAACATTTTAGGGCAGAACAACGCTCAGTTTTCCCCACAGTTTTTGTATAAAAGACAAAGCATGAACACATGAACAAGGAAGAATTACATCTGCTACTGTAAGCTGCAGTATCACTAAACTAAAATGAACATCTGGTAGCAACGACACTCGAGCTCCCCTGCTATTTCCATGCAATATAAAGCACAGGATATTTCAAGTCTCCCATGTGTACAGTACTGTATATTAAAAACTTCACTGGCATGTGTGTTTATGAGGTAAATGTCATAAAAACAACAGACAATTAAAAACTCAATATTTGACTTTTTTAGGCTGTGTAAAGGAAAGAAATCTTAAAGATTAATTCACAAAAATTTACAAGCTACAGGAACTGAAAAGGTACAGGTTAGAACTGCAACCAGTAGGTGGAGGGAGTTGCTTATTTTACACACATTAATTCCATGCTGGGTTTGTATTTATTTGTTGTTCTTGTTATTCATTTCCGGGGCTTGTGTGACTGCACAAACAATGTGATGATTTTCATTTCATTTCTCCAACTAAATAACTTGAAGAATATGAAGAACATAAGAATGTAAGAAGCATTATCCCCCATTCATCTAATAACCCTTTTAACATAGAACTTTTCTGTTAACGATCCATGTGTGCTAGCTCTAGTGCGGAAGTTATTAAATTGATCATCACAATAGCAAACACCATGCAATCCCAGAGAAGTGGCTTCAGCAGACCTACTGAGCATGCTCAGGGAAGCCATCTTGGATCTCTCCACCAGACAGTTACATTATTCCGCAATTCTTGGAATGATTATTACCAGATGGGAGGAGAATAAAACTCTCACAATTGATAACGATATCCCTGACATTTAACAATGGAGTGGAACAACCATTGCCTGTTATTAACGCCTTCTTTTATTTACGTCATTAAGTGATCCCTGAAAAGTCAAATCCTAATCTTTAATAAAAATAGTGAATATACAAAAATAACAATACAGATGAGACTGTTTTAGTCCCATCTTGTATTACATTACTGTCCCAGAGGGATAAAGCACAAGCAAACTGCTGGTGATAGCAGTTCTGTGACATGCTCACTTTTAACACTGGACCTTTCAAGGACAAACTTATAAAGGCTTGAGTAACCGATGAGACATGAAGTAACAGGATTTAGCCAGCTTACGTGAAGTGATTGAGCCAAATGTCAGACAGATGTGCTCAGATGATTTAGGAGAGACGGACTAGACAGCAGAGTGTTGATATTGTTCACTCAAGGACAGCATGAAAGTTGAATAATTGGGAAAGACTCACAGACCGCTAAGCCAGTGTGAGGCCTGGAAACAGATGACCTTGGAAGGAATAGCAAGGTCATGATGATGAATCTGACATTTAATATGAATGCCAAAATAAAATTTAAAATTTAACACTGCACTGCTTGTGCCTTCACTTAATGGATGTTGTTATACAAAAGCACCGTGATTACACTCACTTGGCCTCAACTCATAAAAGAATGTATTATATTTCAACTCCTTCTGTGTAAGCCTTAGGTCGGTTTTCTTTTTGAGTAAACAGAATATTTGAGGCAAATGAAACCCAACTGCCTGAAATTCTGAAACATAAGCAAAGGGACCCTTATCTTTAAGTGACACAAGCAATTATCTTTTTTTTTCCTCCTCAGAATGGAAAACATGATACCAGAGGCATTTCATTTTAAGGATAAAGAGCACCCTTCTAATCTTCTCTCACAGCTGGACGGTTTAAGACAAGAGAGGATCCTCACTGACGTACTTCTGTGTACAGGTGACCGAGAAATTCCCTGCCACAGAATTGTTCTGGTTTCTGGCAGCCCTTATTTTAGGGCCATGTTTTGCGGCGATTTCAAAGAGAGCCAACAGGCCAAGATAAGCATGAGGGGCATTGCTTCAGATGTTCTGAGCAGTATCATCGACTACGTCTACACAGGTTGCATTGCCATCACTATGGAGCTGGTCCTGCCACTGATGCAGGCAGCGTCCATGCTGCAGTACCCCCGGCTTTTCGACGCCTGCTCCGCATTCCTGCAAGAGCAGCTGAGCCCAGACAACTGCCTCAGCATGATCCGGCTGTCGGAGATCCTGCACTGCGAGAGCCTGAGAGCGAAGGCGAGGGAGGTGGCGGTGTGCAGCTTCTCGGACGTGACCGCCTCGGAGGACTTCCGAGAGCTCTCCTTGTCCGAGCTGGAGGGCTACCTGGGAGACGACCGGCTGTGCGCGGAAGAGGAGCAGGTTTTCGAGACCCTGTTGGCCTGGATCCACCACGACCCCTTCTCCCGGAAGGGCGCCATCCACAACCTGTTCCAGAAGGTGCGGCTGCGGCACGTCCACCCGACCTACCTCTTCCAGTTCATCGCCAACGACCCGCTCATCCAGGCCTCCCCTCTCTGCACGGACATCATCGAGTCCGTGAGAAGGCTCATGTTCTCCGTGAGCGCCAAGTGCGCGAGGGAGCTGAGGCCCCAGTGGGCTGCCCCCCGCCGCTACCCCTGCCAGGAGATGCTGGTGGTCGTCGCCGGCCGGAAGAACAATCAGCAGACGAGCCGGGAGGCCCTGCTGTACGACGACAGGACCCGGCGCTGGCAGTGGCTCGCCAAGCTTCCCCTCCGCCTCTACAAAGCCTCCTTTGCGTGCCTGCACGGCATCCTCTACGTCCTGGGTGGCCTGGTGGTCAACGGGCGGGACAGCGCGGTCAGCTCCAGCGTCTACACCTTCTCCCTCAAGTCCAACCAGTGGAGGGCGGCGGACCCCATGCTGAAGCCGCGCTACGCCCACCAGAGCGTCTCCTATCTGAACTTCATCTTCGTGCTCGGAGGCATCGGGCCGGGCAGGCAGGTTTCGAGTTCTGTGGAGAGATACAACAGCATGTTCAATCTCTGGGAGGTCGTGGCCCCCCTGCCCACAGCTGTTCTGCACCCGGCGGTGGCAGCTGCAGACCAAAGGATCTATGTCTTTGGGGGAGAAGATGTGATGCAGAATCCAGCCAGGCTGATACAGGTAAAAGCTGAATAATGGGTCCAGATGGGTTTGGCTTGGACCATTAGTGATATACGAGTATATGCATTGGCGAGAACTTCCAAGTGTTGCGATTGCTCTGGCATTGCTCTATGTGCGTGCTTACCTCACGTACCTTTTATTGAGCTGGCCGAATGAAGTTAGGGAAGTCACACGGTATTGAGACGATTCCATTTGCTCACCAAGAAAAGCTCCTGTTGCTCCGGCATTTGATTTCTAAACAGCAGCCAAGCACACCTCAAGCTCAAAGAAATGTCCGAGGCTGACAGGCTAGAAGATCTCAATCTTTTTAGCACTGAACAGAGAAGACTATCAAGGGGGGCTTGATTCAAGTCTTCAAAATCTTCAAAGGTAATGACAAAGTGGGCCCTTTGAATATATTCAGAATCGAGAGGAAAGCATGAATCGGAGATCACAAACTGTGATTGATTGGCTGCTAAATACAAAATGAACCAGATTGATTGAATGACGTGTTTTTGTGCAAACTTTCTTATGTTTTTTGATTGTTACAGTTTAAACTGCAGAGTTTAAAGGGGAGCTGCAATGCTATTTTCTTATTTCAGGGTTAGAAAGAATCAGCATTGATGAGTACATTTTAAACTGCAATAAAAGTAAAATGTCCATAGTGACTTGCAGAACCTCCAATTTACATCACAAAATAGACAAAATCCCCAGGTATGATTTAGAATGTCTGGTGAGGTGATGCAGCCCTATTACATTGTAAACAAACAGACTTGTGTATACAGCTCTTTAAATCCAACAGAAATATTGCTTTGGATTTTGAGATGTGCATCGAGATCCCGTTAGGCGAGGCGAAATGTGTGCTTCACAACCTGTACTTACTCGCTCGTGCATCACATTAGTCATTACAGGGACTAGTGAGCAGGAAGGGCCGCCTCATGCTGCAATTCATGGGAACTCAAATGCAAGTTTGCGACAACATGGCGACTTGCAGTACTTTTACAAACTTCACGATTTAGTGCTTAATTCCAAATTTGTAATTTTTTTAATGTAACTTCAGTGAATTTATTTTGTTACTGAGATTTCATAACCAGTCTGAGAAGTTGGGACTGCAGTTCCCCTTTAAAGAAGTTACGTTATGAAATAAAAAGCCATTGTGAGACAATGCTTTGTTCTTTATTTTCATTACAGGTTTATCACATTTCTAGAAATATGTGGTCCAGGCTGGAAACCAGAATGGTGAAGAATGTATGTGCTCCTGCAGCTGTGATTGAAGACAAAATCTATATAATTGGAGGTAAGTAACTGATGTTTCATTGAAGCCAGTGAATAGAAGATATACTAACAATCCATAACAAAAACAGCTGCAGAATCCAACCTCCTGATATTTAACCTCTTTACACATTATTTCTGAACATAAAAAAGTATTTCTGAAAATCCTGAAATTGCACTGATATACTGTAGCTTAAAGAGTTTTCAGAGATTTAGTGTCACATAGTAGCTGTTCAAAACTGAAGATAAGCTGAACTCTAGGATCCTTTTGTCTCCAGTATGAGTTTGAGTATTTGCTGGTCTTTGTCTGTGACTCACATTCTTCAAATGGCAGCATGCAGCTGGCTCATTGCTACTAGGGTAAGGCATGGGATTAGGCAGCAGGCAGCACCTACAGGTGTGCGGTACCATCAGTGAAGGACTCGTCCAATCAGCACTGGACTTCCCAGTGTGCAACACTGTGGAGCTTGTGAGGCCTCAGAAAGTCGGCTCAGGGAGGGGGCAGGTCGGAGGAACCTGTCTGCTCTTCTTCCTTTGCCCTGTGTGGGCATAGGGGTTTGTAGCCGTGGACTGAGGTGCGAGGACAACATTTCTGAATTTCACATTTTCGATTTCGAATTGTGTAGGTAAACTATGTCATGTACAAAATCTTTTAAAATACTTTAATTCTTCATTTTTTTAAATTGAGTGAAGGTGTAAATGAACTTCACCTGAGTAAAGGATACTTTTTGGTAATTGTGCATTAATATCACTGTCCATAGTCTTTATAGTACTGATATACTGTATGCAAATGAATGAACCATTCAGAATTATTTTTCTTAATTATGATGTTTTTAGCCATAGGTTTAATAGTTCAGAATCAGAGCAGTTGACTCTTATTTCTGTGTCTATTATTTTTATTATTTGTTATTATTATGTTATTATATATTATTATTTTATTATTATATTATTATAGTCTATTATGTTTTTCCTCGACAGGTTACACAAGAAGGATGGTAGCCTATGACATTAAAACAAACAAATTTGTCAAATGTGCACAAATGAGGGAAAGGAGAATGCACCATGGAGCCACAGTGATCGACAGTAAGCTGTATGTGACCGGGGGGCGCTACATCAACAATCACAATGTCATAGAGGACTCTGATTGCTTTGAATCCTATGACCCCAATACAGATTTGTGGACCTCCAAAGGAACACTGCCTTATAAGCTGTTTGACCATGGCTCCCTTCCACTGATCTGCGTGACAAACAAAGGGGACCCACCTTAACTTTTCTTGCATAGAAAAAATCTGCCTGTAGACTGGCTGTTTGAAAAATTAAACAGCAGCTGATTTTCAGAACTGGTTAGTTCCTTCTTGATTTTGGCATTTTTTTATAGATCTGTTTACCTTTGTGTATTTTGTGGGTTTTCTGTTCTTTTCTTCTGAATTCCTTGCTTTCTTGGGGTAAAAACAATCGGATTTACAGTACTGTATGCCTGAAGTGAAAATACTTTTTTCTTTGGGAAATTGGTAACACATTGTCTGGAGAGAATATACCGGAGAGAGTACAATTATTTAAACATATTCATGAGTTATTTCTACATCCCGTTCCTTTCTGAAGGGAGGTTTTGGTTTTGGTGACAGACTTGTAGAAATCCTTTTGAGAATTGAATCTCACACTAACTAATCCTCAGGTTGAAGGGGTGCACTGTGTACAGCTTTCTCATCTCTTTATTATCAAACTGATTTCTTAATAGATAGTTAAATGTTTGAAGCTGAAGTTTTTAAGTTTTTTCCAAATTCCAGAGTGTTTTGCTGTAGTCTTTGAGCACCTCAAACTATATCTTTTTTTAGACTACACAGAATTTGTGTGACACAAACATTCAATATTTCAACATTTAGTAAGCCTTTTTAACAAAATACATTCCTTTGCCCTGTTTTCTTTGCCAGCAGTCCCACATTTACTTTAGACAAAAATGTATCTCCTGGATCAAATTCATCTCTGCTAGCCTCTGCCTGTAATAACACTGCTTTTCTTCCCTGTCCATCATATTTGCTTTTATGCCTCTTACTATCTGTAGAAAATGGTGTGTAAAAACTTCAGGCTGTGCACATTTTTACTTCTTAAACTTCTATGCCTGTTTAATAACAAAAGCAATACATACTACCTAGAATACAAATGATGTACTCTTACTCTTAGCACACCTCCAAAACAAAAATCCAATCTGTCAAGTAGTTTATTCACAGAACTGAAGAAGGTTTGTTCTTATTCTGGGCAGCTGTATTATGGGCCCTGAGTGACATCCTCAAAAGTATAAAGTCAAAATATCCATGTTGTAATCATCAAGTGACAACTACTACAGGTCACTTGCCTTCGACCTTTCCTCCTGTTTTTGTGTGCCAAGTTCTGTGGTAGTGGCCTCCGGTTTGGCAGCTTTCTTCAGCTAAAGGTGCGTCTGTTTTTTGTTTCAACATTTTGTTGAGAACATACTGGCAATCAAAAGTTCTAGTTCATCTCCCTGTAAAGGCAGTGCTTTTGTCTAACACTTCTGCTACATTTGGTTAGTCTCTGAATGGTTTTCCAGAAAGAAGGTTTACCTGATATCAGCACAGAACTGGTATGTGTATTTATGTGAAATGTTTTAAATGCAATGCACACTTCAGTATACTGTACAGAACCAGGTGCACAAATGAAAAATGGAAGATGGAACAAGATCTTTTTACCAAAGGTTGTGGGAGTATGGAAAAAGCTACCCAGCCAAGTTGTACAGTGGTTTCTTTCAAGATATTGCCGTATGAGACCCTTGGATTAGGGATCAAATAGCCTTTACCATGATGATCTAGATGAGCTAGATCGTCCTCTCGTTCTCATCTTTCTTATGTTCTTAGTTTTGCCGACTCTTCGGCAGAGTACTGTAATTACTGCAATAACAGCCCTGAAACCTGTTATTTCACTGCTCTGAGAAGCTGCACAAGCATCATCATAAAGCTGTTTAAACACTGACGTCTGTATTGTTGGTGTGCACAAACCCTGCTCTAAACCTGTTATTGTGAAAGATTTCAGGATGTATCCACTTGAGCTCTTTGTTGCAATGACTGTGGGGTTCCTTCATATGCAACTGGTTTTTAACACTATAAATCTGACTCCTGTGTCATCTCAACCCTGTAAACTCAATTCATTTACATGTGTGTATCATTTCCCTATATATTTTATAAATAATTGCAAAAGATTTTTGTATTATTTATGATTTAAAGAAATAAAGAGGATATAAAATATATTTGGATCCTAATTTTCTATCTTATTGATTGTTTGGGGTGCAATTATTATCTTCATAGTTTCTTTATGTTTCAGGCTACATCTCACATAGAACAAAAGAGAATAACAAAACAAGGGAATATGGGAGTGTTGGGGTTCCCATCCCTATATTGGGGACACTTGTGCCTCCTAGCTTTCATTCCAGCTGAGCTATTCCAGTGCTAACTGCTGACTTTCATTGTCCTATTTGCTTGTTTAGACTTTAAATGTCTTGCTGCACACAATCCCAAGCTTCACAACTGTCCCACTTACGATTCATATGTTTTCAAAACCATCAGTATACAGATATTTATACTGTCTCAGCTCAGCATCCTTACCTTTATTATCATCTACAATTTCATCATAATACACAGACCCCAGCTTTCAACTGACGCTATACTTGCCCCCACTTGTTCAATGGTGCATCACATTATAGCATGGCTTCATCATGTGACCCCAGCTCAGCTGGTTAAAGGCACAACAAAACAGTCTACCGACCACAGGCCAACATGCCTGGGCATGCAGTTGTCAGTACAATATTGTGTGTCCAGACCAGTGCCCCGTCATTTTGCACCCTGGCAAAAAAGGCGCAGCACTCTACTTAGTCAAAGGCAAAGAATTTAAATCAAGGATGTTATGCTAGAATTGTATAATAATCTAGTAAGGCCCGGTTTGAATATTGTGTGTAATTTTGGTCACCATGTTATAGAAACGGTATTGCTGCTTTGGAATAACTCCAGGGAAAAGCCACCTGATACATTCTGGGGTTTAAAGGATTATCCGACAGTGACGGGCTGGAATACAGTCCAATACAGGGTCACGGAGGAACTGGAGCCCATCACAGCAAAAAAACAGGAGCAAGGCAGGGTTCATCCTGGATGGGACACCAATCCACCACAGGGCACACAGAAACACTCACACCAGCACCAGTTTACTCACAAGTCAATTAACCAACCAGCATGTCTTTGGACTGTGAGAGGAAACCAGAGCACCTGGGAGAAACCCACATGAACATGGGAGAACATGCAAACTCCACACAGAATTGAATCCAGGGCACCAGTGCTGCAAAGTAGAAATGCTAACTACTATGTCACTTTGCCACCTCAACTCTTCTATCAGTTACCCCCAATCAATGTAAATTATCATTAATTAATCAATGTTTTGCTTTTCAATAACACAGAAATACAACATTGCCTGCCACATAAGACATGATTTTGTATGTTTGGGGTTTGTATGAACTGGTTCAACTCAGACTCTCAAGTGTACAGTATATCATTCACATCTCAAGTTGACTGGTAAGGTCAAGATTTTCAACATTTGTTTTGCTTCTTTCACAGCAAAACATTCAGTGCACTTGAAAAAATAGACAGAAAATGAGCTGCCTGTTTTAAAGTTACAAACGGTATCACAGAATAGCTAAAGGGGGATTTATTTGGCTTCCCAGGGCTCATAAAACGTTTTAAAATGTATTTCCTTGTTTTGTTTGGCACACTATCGAGCATTTTTCACTTATTTTGCAGTTACCACTGTAATGTCTAATATTTAGACAGGAAAGGACTGTTTATCACACAAACAACAATGTTCTATAATACAACTTTAGCAATGAGGTCATATCAACCCTGTAGTCAAATGAGCTAATAAATCATTGTAGACTAATCTAAACTGATTTCTATCCAATAGAAACCCAATCTACCCAATAACCATCATTCATATAATTTGAAGGTTGGGTACAATATTAATAAAAGAGGTTTCCCGCCTTGTGATAACTCAGAAACAAACTGTTTTTGAACATCAGTACTTTAAACACGTTGATAACTCAGTGTACTCTTCTTTAGGGACATACAGTAGCAGTTTCAGATGACAGTACAGTAAGCATGGGTATCTTATCAACATTTCCTTGGAATCCACGCTGAACAGACAGTTCGTTCTTATCGGTGGCAAAAGCTACTGATGAAAGAGAAAAGAGTGGGGAGGTCAAGAGCTATAGGTGATCCCAGTTTATTTTGGGAAGCAAACTGGGAGCAGCTTGTATCACATGTGCATCATGTGGCTGTGCGAGTTGCCACAGAGGCTCACAGATGTGGTTACAAGAGCTGTGGACTGGTCCAGTCGAGGAGGGGCAGATGATGAAATTATACACAGAGTAACAGCAACAGGTGGGCTTTGCAGTGACATGTGTTTTGTCAGCTGTTCTCTGTGACCAATGAAACAACAAAAAACATAAAGAGACATGCGCTAGGTATGTGAAAATGTGCTTGGAACAGGGGACGTGAGAATATTTTCGGAGACTGTGTTTATTTTTACTTAAAGCTCTGATTTGTTGTGCCTCACTGCCTCTTCCGACATCCAGCTACTACCCAACACCAAGCGCTGGCAGAAGTACAGTACGCAGACTAGGAAATTCCCACATGCAATTTCACAGAGTCACACTGCAAGAACTGTCCCGACGATAACACAGAGATAGAGAAGCAGCCTGCATGATAAGCAAAGGAGAAATTGCATCCCATGTCAGCAAAGTAAAAATCATGCTTTTAATTAGTGAACAGCTTTCTTTAATTAGCTTGTGTCACAACTCTTGTTCGGTAGGGACATGAGGTCGGGGAGGCCAGAGAATGCATGTGGATCATGTTAGCCAAGTCTGTCCTT